GGGGGGGGGGGGGGGGGGGGGGGAAGAGACCCATCCACGTATCAAACTATTTTAAGGAAATGCGGGTTTTTTTTTGTAAATTTGTCGATGGTTTGGTGTCGCGGTCGAGTGAGCCAACACTTTCCGCCTTGATATCGATTCTCGTTTCGGGCATTCGTGTGAAAAGAGTGAGTCGACGTTGTGCCGAAAGTTTGGGCTTTCTCCGGGTGCTCAGGTTTCCACCCACAGGGAATGTTGACATGCAGAGTGGGTTACGATACACAGAATTAATAAATTCACGATCCTGATCAACATTATAGCTATAGCTGCAGTTAAATATCGTGATTTAATAAATGAAGTTATTGTTTTATTATTTACTATATCAATAACTATTTTAAAGATACCCGAAGCTATGATGAGAACAATTAAAGAAGAAGCTTATAAAATTGTCCTAAAAACGACACAAAGTACGTTTAAAGTTGCGCTATAGTTATAACCTGCATGAACACTGTGTTTATTAGTAATATAAAGTTTATAATCTACATAGACACATTAAGAAAAGGCCTTGAATCAGGCCCTTGATTAAGTTGCATGCGCACTATACAATGGGCATTTTCTTATATCATTTCAGCTTACAAATCACAGATTGGCAGCAAACATAGGCTGACGACAGAAGCTTATGAAAGTCTTAAAGATTTGAGAGAGGACCTTCTCAGAACGTAACGTTCAATAGCTTGAACATTTATTATTTTTTTAATTTTAAAAGTTGTCCGAATTTGCTATTTAATACTTTTCAGATATTGTTGAAAATGAAATATGTAATACACAGACTCTAGTTACGTAGCGATAAAGACACACGCATTCTATAGCTTCAATTGTACACATATATGTATGCAATGTACTTGAGCAAAACATTTTTCAAAACATTAAGTGATGTTGAATTACCGAGAACACGCACTTCAGTATAGAGTGTTGTAGCACAGTAAACATTAAAGTCACGAGTAGCCAATCAAAAGCAATAAAATTTCAAACTAGCCAATCACACTTCAGATTTGTGAGTCTGGTTCAACTGTCTTAAAACTATATTGTTTATCATTTCATTAAAAAACCCCAGTACATGCAGGTGAAATGGCATTAAAATTCAAAAACGACAGGTACCATATTATATTTATGCTAAATCCTAATATTAGTTTATTTTAAATGTATAATATTCATAAAATATATCAACAAAACATATATCCCATCGCAGCAACATGGCCGAAATTCATCACAAATTAGCAAAACTAAAACCATTTTCGGACTTTTATCTTTCCGACTCGAGCCACGGTGGCGAACTTCTTCGTGGGTTGAATGCACTCCGAAAGACTAAAACATTTTGTAATGTGTTTTTAAAAACAAGAGCAGAGCATCAAGGTTTTCCTGTACACCGTGAGGTTTTAGTTGCTTTCAGCCCGTATTTGAAAGAATTGTGCGAAAATGACTCCGCCACTGGAAATTCCAAAGAGATCTTACTACAAGAGTTAAGTCCTAGTATTCTTGTTTCAATAATTGAATATTTCTACACCGGGGTGATAACAATTACAACGGAAAATGCACAAGATGTATTCAACGCTGCTGCATTGTTGCAACTGCAAACTCTTCAAACAGTATCAGAAAATTACTTGGTAAAATGCACCAACCCGCAAAACTGTCTACAAGTGATGTCTTTAGCGCAGAAATGGAACTCCCATCAACTCTTAGAAAGCGCGCGTCAGTGTATGGGAGGTAATTTTACAAAGGTTGTCGAATCCAGTGATTTTCCAAGTATAGAAGCAAAGGATTTAAAAGCTGTCATCTCTGGTGATTATTTAGTTGTATCTAGCGAGAATGAGGTGTTTGGTGCTGTAAGAAGATGGATTGAGAGTGATCGTGAGGAGAGATTAAGATATGTGCCATTACTCATGAGTCACGTTCGCTTCAGGTTTCTGCCTCGAGAGTTTTTAACTACAACATATAAACATGATTCTGTCATGAGCGTGTCTCCATTGAGCGACGATTTCGTCCATGAGGCTCTCATGTATGACACGTTGTCTCCTGAGGATCAGCAACGCGTGCACACGGCTAGGGTGATTGAGAGGTTAGTTACGGTGTATTATATCAGCATACAGTATAGTCCCGCAGAGGTCAGTGTCTTTCAACCCTTCTGACAAGGTTTGGTTCTTGAAATATTTATAGTTGTCTAAGTATAATTTTATTTTCTCTTTCATCGCATATGAGAAGAGGTTTTCCAGTAAAATTTGACTATACTAACCAGGTGATCTCGTGTTCGTATTTTAGCCAATCAGCGCTCAGAAAGGGTTGTCCGAATAGAAATCCATTTTGATGTATTCAGTCACTTATATCTTGCGTTATTCTTCATGAAACTAGTTGAAATTTTGTAATTATGTTTGGTTATGAGAACTATAGCTCTGACAAAAATATGGAATCGAATTAAAGTATATTACAGGAGATATTCAGTTGTTTTAATCACAAAATGGATTTCTATTTGACAACTAGTGCCAGTACTTTTCCGCGTATCAAGATCATCTGGAAAGACAACAAGTCTCTCCCATGCAGCAAGAGATATATCTGCCTATTTTTTCTTGTAGTTTTGCATGGCGAAAAATAAATTTACGTTGTGTTTCCACAAACCAAACTGATACTTTCTTTTTGTTTTTAAGGTGGTGCAGTCAGTCGACTGAAATGTTGCTATTGGTTGGTGGTGTTAGCCGAGAACCAGAACATAACCACTGGACGTTCGATCCAGTAACCAGTCAATGGTACACCGTATCTCCGCTACAGTCTCCTAGACATCTGTTTGGAATGGCGCAGTGTGGTGGCAGTCTTTATGTATTTGGAGGCTTGAAGAATATGACAGGAGATAAATTTCTCACAACTGTTGAGCTGTATGATGCCAAGTTAAATAAATGGAAATCTGTTAAGAAAACAATGCGTGAAGGTATACGGAAACTATTGAAAAATAATATTTGTTTTCAGTAAATATGTTCAGAGTTCCCAACACAATCTGGCGATTTTTACCGCCTAGACAATTGCCGGTTATATATCGTTTCAGAATTTTGATATGAAAATTCTGACCTTGTTTTTCCCTTTAGTTTTACCTAATTTGATTCCTTTTCTTTAGCCAGGTGTCGATTTGAGGCTGTTTCTGTTGGAGATATCGTTTATTTTGTTGGCGGAATGTGCAATGATCCTCACCAGAATACTTTGGAGATGTATTCTCCTACAGAGACAGTGGAACCAGTTAAGATGTCTACTCCAAAATTGCCGAGATATGATCATTGCACGACTGTTTTGGATGACAAGATTTATTTTATTGGAGGTATAAGCGGAATCATAACCTCTATTACACACGTAAAAATCTCACAACTTGTCAACAAGATGTGTTCGCAACAGGCATATAGCAATCTTGTCAACGAGTTGTAACAATGCTGCTATTTTATCAAGTTGCTACAAGGTTGTCACTCACAATTTGTCAACAAGAAGTGTTCGCAACAGACTTGTAGCAAGCTTGTCATTAACCTCTATTACCCACGTAAGAATCTCACAACTTGTCAACAAGATGTGTTCGCAACAGGCTTGTAGCAAGCTTGTCAACAAGTTGTAACAAGGCTGCTATTTTATCAAGTTGCTACAAGGTTGTCACTCACAAATTGTTGAACTGCAGAACGATAACAAGATGTTGGAACAACTTGTTACAAGTCTGCTGAGCTCGACAACCTTATAGCAACTTGTCAAGAAGCCGGGAACAAGCAGTGCGAACACATCCTGTTGACAAGTTGTTGGAGCAGCATTGTTACAAGTCTGCTGCAGGTTTGTTACAACTTGTACGTTTTTAAGTGTGTACATCATTACATCTCTACTTACACAGGTTGTACTCGCGGCCACAAGACATTGAGAGATGTTGAATGTTACGATCCTGATCAAAACACGTGGTCTGAAGTTGCGCCTTTATTGGTTCCCCGGACTGGAGCATGCGCAGTCACACTTGATGACACCATTATTGTGATTGGTGGAACAAATTCAAAGAAACCACTGAGCAGTTGTGAAATTTATGACCGAAACAAAAACAAGTGGGAGTACATTGCACGTGAGTGCCAAGTGCCTTATTTTATTTATTCCGTAAGAGTCTTAACACTTTCCGTAATTTATTCCGTCAAGTAATTAGCAACTAGCTGTTGCGGTGTCCCTGCCAAAACGTTCTTGTAAATATATATACGTGCATGTAAATTTTCGTTATTATATAATGGCAAACTTAATAAAATTAAATTGATAAAGTACTACGTATTGATATCTTCAAATGCCTAAAACGAACAGGGCCGAACGCAATATTTTTTCACTAGGAGGCAGTAATACCTATATGCTGAAATAAGTACCCAAATGTCAACGCATTTTAAGGCATCAGCTAGATGCATGCTTATGGCCCCCTCGTACAGAATCATATATTCTGCTTATAATCGCTATTTGGCTTAATTATTTATAACTTTATACAATTAGTAAGTTCAATTTTCTCGGGGGGGGGGGGGGGGG